TGCATTGGTGGCACAACATAAAATTCTTGAATATTTTCCAACCTATAATTTTTTTTTAAGCCATAATCCCATAATGGATCAATAGGCATAACTGTTATGGACAACATTTTCTTTATTCAAACCACTCATCTATGTTTAATATATGCTCCCATTGTTATGGTGTTAGCATATTTGTTTCCATGGCTGTGGCTGCTACCAAGCTGCAGAAAATTCATTGCTAATAAGCTACAAAAAAACTCATTCTATAAACAAGGACTCAAATGGGCATTGCCAACTTAAACATTCCATAGCAACTCTAGGAATGGGGTCATGCAGTGGATGCAAGAGATGGAAAGCCTTTATGGTCTTGCCATGTAACAAGCTTGCCACTAGGCCAATATCCTATTATATAGCATGTTATATGGTTCTAGTATGTGAAAGAAGGTGAGTTGAAACTTTGCCAAGATTGGCAAGAAATAAACTTGTGTATGCCTTTATATTGGCATGTTGGTGAGGAGGCATGGAGACGAGAGACGGAGGTTGGAGATGGAAGGCAGCACGAGTTGGTGGAGTGTGTTTTTTGGGCTTTTCTTTTGTGTTTAAATGGAAAACCTGGCCATGGGGCCACCGTCTTATTACAGAGTTCGACCAAGCTTACTGCTTCGAGATTGGTGTTTGGAGTTCCGCGATGATCCTTCGTACCTATGGAACACTGGCAACGCAACCCAGCTCTGCCGGCCTGCGCTCACCCCGCTCTCTGAAGAGGACCCGTTCCTCTTCATCCCACGTTCAATCGCTAAGGGGCTTCTTGAGCGTATCCAGGCGTTGCGTCCTGGCAGTGAACTTGTCATTATGGGTGCCAAAGGTTCTGGAAAGACGGTAGTGGTTGGCGCAGTTTGCAACCAACTCCAGCAGTAGGGGCGGAAGCGGGTAGTTTTCTTGGATCCGGAAGAGCTCACCCGCAAGTTTGTGCTCGCCTTGTGGAAGGGCTTGCTCGTGGCATTTTGTGGCCTGCAGAAGGAAACGGAGGGGATTTCTCGAAGAAGGCAGGCTGTCCAGTTGGAGGAGTGGTGTTATGCTCACGTTTCAGAGCTGAGCTTTGTGGTAGACGATTTCGAGTCCTTCGAGGACCAGGGCTGCTGCCAAACATCATCTTCTCGGCTTCATGCAGCTGTACGCTCTCGTTCGGGTTTCTTCTGTAAACAGCAGAGAACGCTTGATTGTTGAAAGGAGCAACAAGAAGAAACTCAAGCTCCTGAAGTTCCTCGTCGACGGGCCAGTGGAGATAGGGACATGGAGAGGTGTAACACCATTAACTGAGGATGTGAAGAAGAGTCTGACTGTGGCATATCTTACTGGGGGAATGCCACAGTTGCTGACATACTTCGAACAGGCGCAGGGGGACGAGGATACATACAGGGATCTTATTGCCGAGCCGTTTACTTGCAAGCTCTGGACTGATTTCATTGGGCTGCTGGAAAACAAGGCCGAGTTAGAGGCAGCTGACAGGCTTATTATGCGTGCAGAGATCAATCATATGCTCGCCAGGAAAGTGAAGCTTACTTGCTTCTACGAGGGGACGGACAGAAAGTACCGTCTGCTTTCTGCCTATCTAGAAACGCAAGCTAGGAACTATCTGAGGGACCGGTATCGACAAGTGGATGATGGTTTGAGCATGATTGACATTCGGGGGTGGGCTTCGATGGTGTACAGGGACCTCAGGGTACAGCATCTCCCTCTCAACTCTGCTCGTGTTGACTGGAATATAGAGCGTTTCGTTATCGACATAATACGACACTCTAAGCGGGTTTCCATGATGATGAACGGAGCAGCTTCAACCGTGTAGTGGAATATGCCCACTGCAAGAAATTCGGAACTTGGCGATGTTGAGCTGCTAGAAGGCGTGCTTTCTGGTCCCAATGGCGTTCAATGAAAGAGCCGTGGATGTGGTTCTTATTAAGATCGTGGACGGCGTTCTGTATATCTGGGCAATACAATTCATTATTGCGAAATGGAAGACAAAGTCCCGGAAAATGTCGCATAGAGTGTGGAAGACAGAAGTGGCATCCCATTTCCAGTTCGGGATTGGTGTGCATGATGATGCCAATAGGGAGCAGAAGGTGCAATCTGTGAAGACTGAGTATTACTGCATCATGCCAGAAAATGTAACTGAGCAGGACATACTGGCTGATGAAAAAGAGGAAGAAGAGGAGCAAGATGACGAAGTTGACGAAGGTCAAGCTGAGCTTTTTGCCAAAACTCGGATAGAGTCGACTGGCCCAGCTTTTAAGAAATTCGGTGCTGTGCACGGGATTCTAGAGCCCTTGGACAGGATGCTGAACCTTGCCCGGCCTGCTGCTGCTTCGGTGCCAAAAATGTTCAAGTGCAAGCAAGAGGGATGCGAGAGCCGTGGTTCAAAGGAAAACTATTGCTGCAAACGCCACCTCCCTGACGGAGTAATACCTTGCGGGAACATGGCTGTTGCTGACAGACGCTGCCAGAAACATTCTGCGTAAGTCTCAGATTCACATTTGTTATGCTGCAGGAATTCCAGGCCAAGAACTATTTTTCAAGGCACTTAGAAGCGCTCACGGGGGACAACAGCCGCTGAGGCAGGCTTTTCTCATTTTCTGGTCTGTCCTGAAACAGGGACAACTTCACACCTGAAATGTGGCGCCCGATGTTTGAAGAAGTGGCACAAAAAAAAAGCGAAAAGGAAGATTTTGATCCTTAACAATCAAGCCTGATGTCTTTGCCTTCGCAGTACAAGCATGGGGGTACAAGCGTTGTGAGAGAGAAGGAGCATCTGTGAAGGTTAGCAGAAAATCAGGTTTTGACAACGTCCAGGCTTGTGCGGATCGCTTCTCAATGACCTTAGAGCGTCTCTAAGCCATTAGAAGTGTAAGTGTTGTCATACCTGGTTGAACTTCGCTACTTTTTACTTCATGTTCTTTAGAAACTTTGAAAATAGGTACATTGTTGTTCATAATCAGTTTCCAATTCAGCTGACAATGTAAGGATGACTCGCAAAATGAAAATGAACATGAGAATGAACACGAACAGCATATATACCATTGTAAATGACTGGATGACATCGGTTTAACTCACTTACCCGAAGTGGAATTTTCTTATTACTAAAGGTTAGGGTTCTTGGAACAATGGCGCAAGCAGCGCTGGAGAGTCTCCCCCGGCGCGTGAGTTCTCTGTCCACGATCGAGAGGTTTTCCTCATCTCTGATCACAGGTCTCCTCTGAGAATGTGGCCGCCGTGATCGCCGGATTGAAGGATTTGTACGCGCGCAAGCTCAAGCCCTTGGAGCGCCTCTACAAGTTCAACGTCTTCTCCAGCCCTGCTATGGTATGGAATTCGTCGACTCGATGCAGGCTAATTTTTCTGCCTAGACTGATAGCGATTTCGAGGCGAAACCGATGGTGACACTGCTAGGACAATATTCGACTGGAAAGACGACGTTCATTAGCCACATTCTCGGAAGAAGCTATCCTGGTATGTTTCTGGATTTGATTTTTTTTCTTGTCTCCCCTTCTTTCTTTCGTGAGTGCTATTGTGATTTAAACTTGCGAATAAGAGTTGCCTTCTTGTCGATTTCAATGCTTCCTTTTTTTACATCTAACGAGAAGCGTCACCTTACACAGTCTTGACTTCGTCCAGGAGCTCACATTGGACCAGAACCGACGACTGATCGTTTCGTTGCCGTGATGGTATGTTTGTGTTTCGCTGGTATGTCGATCCTCGTTTTCTTGTTTTCTCTTTGCAGGGAGGAAGCGTCGACAAAACTGTTCCTGGCAACACGGTGTCCGTTCACGCCAATACGCCTTTCGGTGGTCTCAAAAGGTTTGGGACAGCGTTTCTGTCGAAATTCGAGTGTGCTCAAATGTCACATCCAGTGAGTTCTTCCAGTTTCTTGCTCTGTTAAAAAAAGAGTGGGCTTGTTTGGCAGCTACTGAATGACGTGACTTTCATCGATACGCCTGGAGTGTTGTCAGACACAGAACGCAGCTACGATTTTCTTGGCGTAACAGAGTGGTTTGCAGCGAAGTCGGATATGATATTTTTGCTTTTCGATCCTCACAAACTGGACATTAGTGACGAACTAAAACGGGTTATTGAATCCCTTAGAGGGAACGATGACAAGATTCGAGTTCTTCTCAACAAAGTTGATGGTATTGACGCTCAACAGGTGAACATTGTCTTTTCCTCTCGTATATCCTGACCCGTTACTTCAACAGCTGATGAGAGTATATGGAGCTCTTATGTGGTCCCTTGGTAAAGTTGTGAACACGCCAGAAGTAATGCGAGTATACATCGGGTATGCTTTCTGAATATCAATTACTGTGATTTTTGGTGATTTTTGTGTTGCAGTTCATTTTATGACAACCCGCAGAAGATCATTCTAAGCAAAGATCTCTTTGACCTGGAGAAGAAAGATCTCTTGAGAGAACTATCGGAGCTGCCAAAGAGATCTTGTGATCGAAGGGTGATATCTCTTTAAATTTTCATTATCATATCCTCTTCCTTATTTTGTTTACAGATAAGTGAATTCGTAAAGCGAGCTCATGCAGCTAAAGTACATGCATATCTCATCGGGCATTTGAAGCAACAGATGCCCATCCTGTGGGGAAAAGCCGACGCTCAGGAAAGCTTGGTAGTGAACTTGGAAGATGAATTTGTGAAGGTATGGAGATGTTTGTAGTTCACACGTGAAATCCTTCTCTTACAGGTGCAAAGTCTTTATCACTTGCCAAAGGGGGACCTGCCAAACATTGACACGTTTAGAAGAGTGTTGGCCGTGCACAATATTGACAGCTTCCATCGTCTAAGGCCATCAATGATCCAGTCTGTAGACGATATGCTCACTCACGACATCCCAAAGTTGCTCAGCAACTATGCTGTTGCTTAAGCTACTTCCCTTGCAAACCAGACTTTCGTTTTGATAGTGTAAGTTTGGACCTATTTAATTTTATGCAGTTCATGGACCATCAGCTTTAAATTGTTGTGCCAGGTAAACCATTGTGGTCCATACTCTGAAGACCTTAAATTGTTGTTGCGAGCTCGGTGGAGGATACACAAACCACCACATACGAGTCTTAGCAGCAGCCAGCTTCTACATATCCGGCACTATCGCATTGCATCATGGACATCGAGAAAGTTGCTCGCGTTTGTGCACTCTTGGTATCGTTTTATATATAGATTTATAGCACAATCTAATCCATCTCGTTCTTGGGCAGGTTTTGGGATGCATAGTTTGCAGCGAGGAACAAGTTATAAGGCAGCATGTCTATGACGGTTCCATCTATGACACCGGCAGTTTCAATGTTTCAATGTTCACCATCAATCAAAGACGCCTACTGCCACTCCGAGTCTTCACTCGTTCGAGTAACGGGACGTTTCCCCTCATTGTCTTCCACCATGGAACATTCCTCAAGACTCGAATCTACACAGGCATACTCACGCATATCGCCAGCTACGGCTATGTCGTCGTTGCGCCACAGGTGAGCTACGTGAAGCAAAAACTCACTCCACTCACACTGTGATACAGAGAAGTGATAGTTTTTGGGACACAAATGCCACACGAGCATCGAAGATGCAGCGAGAGTTATTGAATGGCTCCTCGGAAACTTCGCAGCCTTTCTCCCAGCTGGTGTGAGCGTCAATATTGGCAAGCTCGTCAACATGGGCCACAGCAAAGGAGGCAAGATCGCCTTCGCGCTGGCACTCAACATCAAGGCCAACATCAGCGTACCATTTGCCACGCTCGTTGGTCTGGACCCCATGGATGGAACAAAGATCGGCCAAACGCAACCGCGGGTTCTATACGACGCACCGATTGTTTTCCAGTACCCAAGTTTGATCATCGGCACTGGACTTAGTGGTGCCTGCTCTCCAGCAAAGTATAACCATGGCGGTTTCTTCAACCAGACAAGGAGCATGGTGGTCGACTTGATACCCTCAGAGTACGGGCATATGGATTTTGTGGACGATTTGGGGGCAGTCGACCGTCAGAGAGTGTTCCTTCTCGCTTGCAAACGAAAGAGACCCCGGAAGCCCATGAGAGATTTCACGGCTGGAGCGGTCGTTCCTCCGAGCTGTCCTTTACAATGTCACCGATGCGTTTGTCAACATTGTCAGAAACCCGTCTTCGGCTCCTGTCCTACTCCAGGAACCTCTTGTCCATATTGCTTGAAATTCATATATAATATATATCTGCGTATATACAATAAATTGCTATGCATTGCATGTAATAGTAATTTTATTATTGCTTATTAATCTAATTGATCAAATAAAGTTTATAATTATAAGCATGCTTGTAATTTATAAACACAAGATTAATCTTATTGCATATTAACCATTAAATGATAGAATAAAAAAATATATACTAGAAAAGGTTTAAGAATGTTTAAAAATTATAAACTGTGAGGGCCAAGTGTACAGTTATAATGCCGTATACTAATATTAGTATAGTGGGATTTTGGTAGCTGTCAAATTGGTTTCAATCCGAACTACTCACTCCTGTATATAAGTTAAGGTTTTTGGGCTAATTAATATGCACATTTTCTGTATTCCCTTTCTATATTCCAAGCATTCGCATTGGTGGAGGTGAGGGGCATTTTTTATTGTTTTTGAGGAGTGCTTAAATTTGGAATTTTGGTTTAGATCTAATTTTTTCCATTTCCTTTCTTTTGTTCTTCCTTTTCAAGATTTTGGTTTAGATCTAGCTCTTTGCATTGTATAGATCTACCATTTCCTTCTAGCTTTTTGTCATTTCTCTTCTTTTGCTCTTTCTTTTTCGTTCATTTTCATGGCAAATCAGCAATCTCCTCCTTTGACTTTGGAGTAGCAATTGGTCCAATTGCTTCATGCTATGCGCTTGCAATTGAATGACCAAACTCAATTGATGGTGGCATTTACAGCATATGGTACAACTCCTTTTGCTCTTGGTGCCAATCTTCACGTTCGGCTGGAGTTCTTTCGTGGGAATCTTGGGGATAATGTGTATCATTGGTTTGATCACTTCACGCTGATTGCCACATCATTCTTAGGATGATGTTCAATATTTGCGTGAGTTTCCCACGTGTCTCCAAGGGACGGCGTTGCAATGGTACAATGGTTTGAGTGCAGCCACTCGTGGGGATTGGAATGTTCTCCCGGATGTCTTCAAACACACCTTCAGACATGCTAATGACTGTGATGATGCCTTTCAACAATTGCATCATCTTCTCCAAGAGCCATATAAGTTGGTGATGTAATTTAGCGTTTGTTTCCAAAGTCTTTTGTTTCGTGCGGAGCCCAATATGTCGGAGCAGATCAAGCTAGGAATGTTGTGGCCAGCACTTCATCAAGATCTTGTCGAATTTGTGCATGCATTTGCTCCCACCACCCTTGACGATGCTCTTTGTTTGGCACAACATTATGAGATGTCGCCTCTTCCACTTCTTGCTGCACATTCTTTAGCTCCACTTCCTATGAGTGATGGTCCTATTCCAATGGAGGTTGATGCTACTGCTACTCGAGTCCAAGGACAAGGGTGAGGATGTGGTCGTGGCCATGATGTTTGTTGCTGGGTGTGTGATGAAGTTGGTCATACTTATCGGTGTTATCAACATTTTCCCGATGGAGACTTTGGTGTCAGCAACGTCCCGTTGGTGCTGTTGCAGTGGAAGGTTTGGACACTGAGATGCATCTAGGAAACGAGGAGTCGCGCAAGTAACGGAGGGACCTTGTGCAAATAAGTCAGTAACTCCTCTATCTTTCTTTCGGAAGTATCATCAAGGGGTTCATTTGGCACTGGTTCATCCAGTATTTATTTTCCAAGCTCATTTTTATAACAAGAGGTCTCATATTATTCTTTCCGTGTTGGTTGATACAGGTTTGAGTTTATCTTCTATTGCTTGACTTGTTACCACACGTTGTCGTCTATACTTGCGTCGTGCGGTGGAACTAGTTTTCATTCTTTATGGCAACAGCTGTACACATGTATGTGCACGGGATGAGGCAGACCTGGTTGTGTGTGTGGGCGATCTTGATTTTGAGTTGCAGTTGTTGCGGGTGGTGCCGAGTCAAGCTTTTGAACTCATTCTTGGTATAAATTGGTTGCAGCGCAATCATGCCAAGTGTGACTTTGAGGCTTCTCCCCCTTATCTCATACTTCCTTATGTTTCATCCATTCCTCTCATTTTCATGCCTCTTCATCCCTCTACTTCTACCTTTGCTTCCATTACTTTTGTTCCCTCACTATTTCCTTCTGTGTTTCCATCTTGTTCTGCTTTTACCTTTTCTGATCCCTCCGACGATTTTTGTGTTGCAACGGTTGACCGACTCATGAAGGAGTATTCTGATCTCTTTGAATTTGACCTATCATCTGGGGCCAAGATTGCCATACGTCATCCGATTCCAACCAGGGATGCTCATCCAATCAAGGTTTCTATTCATCGTCGGTCACCCAAGGAGATCAAGATTTTACATGCAAACGTCAAAGAGATGTTGGAGAAAGGTGTTATTTGTGTAGTGTACGTGGTTTTGACCTTTATCCTATGGTGATTTACCATAGGATAACACCACGAAGCGGAACCTACACCCTCTTTGTGCCACATGACACATGCCACGTGTCCAAAGGAATGTGGTGTGGAACTCAAGGTTCAAGGCCTTGGGCCACTGAACGAAGGAACGGTGCCAAACTCCCAAGCGTGGAGTTAAGGAATGATAGAATCGAACCATGGAGCAACTCCCGAGCATAAAGCCCAAGGAGCAAAGGGACAGGAGCCCGGAGCGACTTGGAACAGTCCTGGAGCAACCAACATCCCAATGCCAGGACCAGCACACAAAACATAGCTAAACGGAGTCTAGCGCTATTTCGGCATACCGGTGGCCTAACGCGAGGACATGGGTACTCCACCAGCTAGCATGGTGTGGAACTTGGGCTTAGACCCAAGCCGGACACAGAACAAGGACAGGCACACAAGTGGGAGCTAAACTATGTCTTAGGTTGGTCGGCCATGCCCGACCTACCCACTATCCCTATTATACATTTGGAACCCCCCATAAGCCCCCCACCCCCTTTGAGGAACACACGCTTTGGGCTTTCACCCCAAGCCTCCCTTAGTATCAGGAGTTAGTCTCTGGGACAAGCTTGAAACTTACTAAATATGGAATGCACTAGATTGTGAATTTGGACACGGGACGAACACCATTGTGTTCAGGCCGATCTCTACATTCCGTAGATATGCCAAATGAGCGAATCTAGACACTTTCCATAAATAGCATTTGGGACCGAAATGAGACTAACACAAAGGGCATGATAGCGAGGGTGTTTGGCAGACACGGTAAGCTATCATCCAGCGGTATTGAGGGACTAATCTCAATACGCGAGGGTTCTTGTCACTAGCCAGTGTAAGACATAACGAGACAGGAACTCCTTACCGGGCTAAGTATGCTTAGCTAATAACACGTAGGAATTTCGTCTTTATACTCGTCCGGTTTAAGTACACTTAAAATGCCCAGTTAACTCCACTAGCACAAGAGGGACTGATAAAGGGTCCAGCAATACTGACCTTCTGCCATTGTGGCAGTAACGTAAGAGTGTCCGTAAGGACTGGCCGACAGGTAACTTTCGATACCTGAAGTCACATTTGCGACACTCTCCCCCCCTAGGGAAGATCAATGTCCTCATCGATGTATACTCGAGTCTAGAATATTGCCAAGGAAACAACTCAAGAAAAAGTTCACAGTATTCACACTATGTGAGAAATTCACCAACTTAAATGAGTTAGGAGGCAACCTCTTTGTCTAACGCGGATGCACTACCAGCTCAGACACCTTCCGGCCGTCGCCGACAAGGAAATGACCAACGGAGTCAGCCACCCTTGCTGCTCTGGGAGTCACCCAGCTTACAAAAGTGTGATACGTCCCTGCTTGTAGGAACATAGAGAGAGAAGCTAAAGGCCCCAACCCTCATGAGCAAAGAAACCAAACCCGTCGGTAAGGTTTAGATAGACTACTGTAAATAGGCAGTTAGAGTTGTTTACACGGTCACGCCCTTTTAACGGAATAAGGAATATCGATAGAGAGGTAGGTTATGTGACCAGTCTACAGTAGCTACCCCATAACTAAAGATTTCACCATGCACACGAAGTGCCAAAGCCAGTTTGCCTAATACTAGCCCAAGCTCAAAGATCAATAGATGGACAATATCAAAGTCAGAGACAATGATATCTTAGAGACTTAATTACCAGTGATTAAATATTAGATTAGAACACAAAAGTATTCCAAGTAAGTTATCATCCGATAAACCAGTATTATAGAACAGGAACCACCAAGATCACTATCGTTGGAAAACATAGGATTCACTATTCAACAAAATTCAATAGTAAGTATATCATCAAGTAACTTAATGAGAAAGCTTAACTATCAAAGATTGCAAATAGAATGCCAAACAACTTATGAAAGATAACTCAAAGAACACAAAGTATCATCGACTGACAAGCATAATGCTCATGAATGTACCACCCAAAGGAAATAACATCCCAACCTATCAGAACTAACTTGAGCAATAATCAATAGAACAAAATGAATGTGGTAAGACCAATAAACACCCATTCATGCCAATTATCACAGAAGTTAATTTGAATAGATCCTGGTCAACAATACTAAGGAACCAAAGTTACTCAAGCATGTGTCAGTAACATCTTACCGATGTCTGAAACCCAAAAAACCAATCCAAAGCAAACCACAAGAAACATGTGGTATTGCAAAAAGCCAAAAGCCATCAAAGAGAATAATTAACTATCATGAAGATCTTTATTCATCCCATCAAGAAAGAGATGCATAATCATCGTTGAAGAAAGAATTTACCATCCCGAAGAACAACGAATCATTCTATATCAACAACAATCAAGCAAAACCTTTTGACTAGGATAATCAACTATACTAGATGATAGTCAATCATCACCAATGATTGCCAGATGCAAATACTAATTTCAACATCGAAACTAACAAGCCAAAATACCTTCCCCAACAACTTCTAACAAATAGAACAATGAGCATAAAACTCAAAGAACCAAAAGCTCGAAGAAGCCCATAACTAAATTTTACCTAATAATGATCACAAGTCTCGCATGAACTAACTTTAATGCTAAAGAAAAAATCATGGCTTAACCCACAATATCCTCCTCAACACATCTATAAGCTAAACTTCATAATGCAAAGCTAATGTTGCATCATTCCAAAAACCAAGTATAATGAAGCTATGCTTAACAAGTGATCACTAAATG